CAAAATTTGTCGATGTCCAGTGACCCCAGTTTCTAGTAGAAGCACTCTTACGGATATTGTTCTTAGATCTAGTGTTATAATTGTGTATGTCTTTATTAAATACTAAGTTAAAACGATGTGAAAATAAATCATTTAAACATTTATAAAGAAAAGTTGCCCTATGCCCTATGATATTGCATAAGATCTAGCTGAACCCATTTCACCACATCCTGTTGTCTGAAAAAAAATTTTCCAGTGTATATCTGACTTGTACTAGTATCTTGAGTTTAATATGGTATAATAAGAATATAAAGGTTGGTTTCACTGACCTTATACTGATGGTCTTTGTGGATGCTCTTTTGAAAACAGTCAATACAAAGCACACAAGTTCCATCATAACCGCAGTCTCTGCAACCCCAAAATGACAATTTTATCAATAACTTAATATTGAAATAATAATATAATAATAATAATAATATTGAAACACAGATTTTATCTTTTCATGTTGAGATTATCTTACTCGCTCACTGCACTCTCTTGTATAAGATAGCACCTCAACACTTGAAGATAGAATCATTACTTGTTTGCATAGCTGGTACCTTGGTTGAATTTAACACATTTAAGAAAAAAATTGCTAATAAAATTTTTATATAAATAACACTTATTGAATACATTACAATTCAATCAAGTGGAAGAAGAGCGCTCCATGGAAACCATGCTAAACCCCATTCATTATTGTAATTAAATATCCTAAAAGTGGAGTTTAAATATAAATTATATCACAATGGAAAAGACATTTTGTTTACATCATAAAATAACAGAATTTACTCCACATATTTTGTTAAAACAATTACAAAACTTAAAAACAAATTTCTAATAGATAATCTTTTTCTAATGATGTTTAACTTATAATTAGTAAACAAATATAGTTAATATTTATCACATCTTTTTATAAAACTATTTCTGATAAAATTTTAATTTCAACAAAAGCTATAAATGCATAGTTTCGAAAATATTCCTATTAGGTACTAATATACTTTACCTGCAAGAGAAAGTCGGGTCTCCATATTTAAACATTTTCCCGCACAACTGAGGTGGCTTATTCAAGCTTTGCAGTTTTTCCAACCCGGTTGAAGGTTCTTCACCCAACAAGAAATACTCCAACACGTTTAATATCGTCTCCTGACATAATTCTTCCTTTACATTAACTTTCAATGTCTGTGCATTAGTAACTTCGAAGCAAGGAAAGACTTTGTCCGAGAGTAGTTGGAAAAATAACTTTTTAAAAACGTCAGGGTCGTTGGTCGTGGCTTGGTTCACGGTTCGCAGCCATTCCTTGGCTAAGCAGGCTTCTCTAGAGTCTGCTGCCATAAAAGGCACCACTTCCATCTCTTCGTCGCTCATTTGTGCTGCGTCCTGGTTATTTCTTCAACAAGAAGTCGGTATCCATAAGGACAAAGCTGCAGAAGTTGAGGAATATAATGACTTTTATTTTATATTACGTAGACTCAAAATGGCGTCGAAACTGGAATTTGTTGGGGTGGGGGTACTCCGCTGACAAGGTCAGCATTCCTCACATTTATTTATTTATTTTTTCATTCCCATTTTCTCGAATTCATTTACTAAATAATTAAGTCACCCAAGTATTCATACCTCTTGTAAGTCTTTGGTAGAAATAAAGAAATATAATAATGGGACACTACGGGAAAATGCCAAAGTAACCAACGGGGATAATATTTTTTTGTTTTTAACCTAAATGTGACTTTTCTCTTTGGTAAATTTGAGTAAAAAATCCATATGTATATATATATGAATGAAAACAATTTATTAAGGATTGAAAAATATTAAAGACAAGGAAAAAGGGAATGGGTATGGAGTTTCTGTGACCTAATGCTACCCAGGCCTTCTCTACCCATTACCGCTGACCGGGTAAATAGAATCATAACGATAACTCACTAAAAGAATCAAACTTGTGAATGAATGATTCTATGAATATAGAAATCGTGAAGTTACACGATCACCCCGAGCTAATACAGGATGTAGTCAAGATACTTAATCTTGAATGGCCAAGGAGTGAAAGTGCGAGGTAAATACTTGCAAAACCATCCAAGGAGCGAGAGGAAACTTTGGTGAAAACTTCAACACTCCCCTTATCATATGAATATGTTTTTTAATCACAGGATACATAGCCTCAAAGATTCTGGAGATGATCTACCATGTTCATTATTGCTGGTTCATAAATATGATAATAAAAATTTGGCTGTCATTGGACACAACAAAATATCAAAAGTCCATGGAAATATAAAATCGGTGTTCATAGAAAATGGTAAGTGAGATGGTATGTAGCTGGATGGATGTTGAAAAAATTACTTCTCACGTGTTTATTTTATGTATTTTTAGTTATTGTAGAGAAAACAAAAAGAGGATTTGGTCTTGGAAAGAAGCTTATGGAACTCACAGAACTTTATGTGTCCAAGTAATGAAGAATTGTGATTTAAAAATTAAAATGGAAAATTTAAAGAGATTTTTGTTACTTTTAGGATAATATTTTGCAATATTAATATTTATTTCCATTGTTTATTGCCAAAGGTTAGGATACCAAGATATTTATTTAAGCACTCATGACAAGTGTAAATTCTATGAATGCCTTGGATATGTATATTGTTCTCCAGTATCTCCAGTAAGAGGAAATGCAAAACTGCTGACACCAGAACAGGTATAGTTAGAGAAATGTGTGCACAGCTTATTTCCCTTTTAGCAGAGCCTCCCTCATTGGTGATTCTTGGCAGAGAAAATGGGAAAACCAGTTTCAGAACTTTTTTGGTTTGTTGATGGTTGTGGATGGCATTATATCAAAGAAAATGGCCTAGGCCAGCAGAGTCTCCCATATTCTCTAACTAGAATCACAAACGAGGGAGACTCTGTTAGCAGTTTATATTCCTTAAAAACATATACTCTCCAGGTGTGTTCCCCAAACCTCAGAAAACTGCCATTACTCTGTGGGGAAGGAACAAATATGTTGTTGAAATATATATTGAAAGAGAGCCAATTGAGAGATCTGGTTAAGATAATGCCAGTTTGAAAAGAGATGCACTAAGTTAATATTATCTAATAGTTTTCAGCACTTCAAGTCCATTTTGGTGAACAAAATGAACAGGATTCTAAAGGAGACAGGGAATTGCTTCCACAACAATTACAAGATGAAAAGCATCCACTACTCCAACAACCAGTGAGAAATAAAGAAGTAGAAATACAAAGGCAAAATAAAAATACTTCAGAGAATAGTCAAAAGTGGATGAATGAAAAGCCTCAATCAGCAGAGCCGCCGCCTCCTCCTCCTCCTCCCCCTCATCCACCAAGTTTACCGGTAGGAAAAGATTCATCCAGTAAATATGGATCTGAGAAGCAATTCTGGATGGTTAAACATCTAGAATAGATAAGTGTATTTAAAATATCCTGTTATAAAGTAATTAAATTATCTAGAAAACTGGTAAAATAACTTTTTCTTATGATTGTACATATTTTTGCTATGTTTAATAAATTTTCTTTTACTGATTCTTTTTTTTTTTCTTTCAAATCTCTTAGTATTCATTTTTCATTTATCAATTTAATTAACATCTATAAATTTAAATATAAAAATTTCACAATTTTATTATGACATCATAATTATTATTAGGCAATTACTTAATGCTGTGGGTTCATAGTATACAGAACAGAGACTTCAAATATGGTAAGCCGTTTTCTGTTTGGGCAATGACATAAGAAGGGGAATGTTTGGGGGTATTACGAAAACAGCATAGATGCCAAAAATCAAAAAATTGTTAATCAGTTTCGATCATATGAAACATACTGCCAAAAAAACGTCATTTTTTCACTTCGAAAAGCCACTGTATATCAATCAGCTATCCCAGCATACTCGTTTTGATAATTTATATATTTACTGGAGTATTTTAACCGGCTAAAAATTACTTGCTTTGATAATTTTTACGATCAAAAATATTTTCAGGAAAGGTGATAGGTGAGATAACCCGTGGACGTGTTACATGTAATCCATAAGTCTTCCTGTTACGTGCAAGTCTGAAAGCGTCTGAAATACGTAAATATCACGTGCAGGAATATTCCCGCACAAAAGACCGCGTGAACCTGGATCAGAATACAGGGCGTACAACCAAACGAGACGTCACAATCATTACGTCATTTTCATTCATCCTGATTGGATGATTTCGCCATGGTTACGCGTTTTTCTTGAACGTGATTGGTTGGAAAAACCGGTTTTAACTGGTTTTGTGTGGTACGACACAAATAAGTTTGTTGCGTTCAAACGCATAGTTCAGTGTTTTGGGGGATCTAGAAGAGGTTAGTAAYGACGTATTACATTTTTTCGTATAAAAAGAAATTATTTTGCGATTCACTCGCAAATTTTCTACATATACATCAAATTTATAAAAAGTCACTTGCTAAAGAACTAGAGAAACAAATTCTAGTTTTTTACTAGTGTAGAAGGACCCAAGCGTTAGATGTAAAGACGGATTTCAACGTGTTCAACCGAAAATAAGAAGCGAGAAGTTGTTAGGAAAAGAAAAAATCGATCTTACAAGGATTTTGAATTTGTTCTTGCCTTAAAGGATCTTCTCCATTCACTCGCAAGTTGGTGGCTTTGGACTTCAAGTCGACGCGAAAAGGAGCGGCTAATGAACCAGTAAGCGAAGTATCTTTAAAAAAATTGAGGTTATAAGTTAGTTTTACCTTAAACCTCAGTTAGTCATCGCCAGTTTATAACAAATTCAGTCAAACTTTGAGTTTTACATTGCGTAGTCGACTTAAAATTTCAAAATGTGTGGCGGAATGAGAAGCGAAACAGTGAAGCGAATCAAACATGGACGCTATTCCGAGTCAGACAAAGAACTTTGGTCTATTCTTTCTGCTTCTTTAGAGAAAAAAAGAGTTATCAAAAGAAAAAGGTCCATGGATTTCTATCGGGCAGCAGTGCTTCAATTTTCAGTCCAAAAGCTTAATGACGAAATAACTGAGAGATGTAATAGGAAGGCGAAAAGACAACGAAAAAGAGAGCGTTATGAGTGGCACGACGGATCCAATGGCGTCGACTGGAACATGAAAAACACTCAAAAGGATGACGACGATCTACTAGGTATTGATGACTTTTTTCGAAAACTTAGTAAATGGAAACCAGACAATTCGTCCACAGAAACAGATTTAGTGCTTTCTAAGGAAGTATCAGGAATGGATCTATCAAAATAAACTGCGAAGGAACAAAAATGCTGTCTAAGCAAAAAGTTGTTTGGCTAGTAGGGAGTATTTTATTCGAGTGAATGATCAAAAATAATTTATGAATTAGGTAGTTTTAAAAAGTATTTAAATTTTTGTATGCTATGTAAATTTCTAAGAAAAGTTTTATATTGTAAATATATGTAAAGGTTTTATAAATATGGTGGTATATATTGCAATTAACCAAATCTACCGAAATCCCAGTTATATGGAATCCTGGAGCAGAATATTGGAAATGTGGTTAATGAATAATTAATTACATTAAAAAATTTTATAATGTAGAATTTCAAGTTTATATTTCTTGCATTTTTTCCTCAGAGTGAAATGCTTTGTGATGCGATTTAAATGAGAATGTGCTGGTTCATCAGATGAGCAATTCTCTTGACGGCATGTAAGTTGTCAAATATCAGTTTGAAACTGGTCTGACTGAAATTGCCATCATCGAGGGGAATCACTAAAAACATGTTTCTTACATACACACAGTTGGTGGTCATTCCAAGTTAAAGTCAAGCCAGAGATCTGAAGATGGATAGTCTGAGATGTGTCTTAATGCGAAAAGGCTTGTAGTATTATGATCAGGAGTACAAAGAAGTTGGAATGTTAGCTTAATAGTAGAGCACTCAACCCTTGCAAATTGGGATTTGAAACTTTAGATTTGGTCAGCTCTGTGCTGCATTTGCTTCATTAGAAACTGTGGGAGGAAATACTACTATACTATAGAGTAAGATCATGTAGTTTGCCAAACGCATGTGCTACACTTAAGATTTTAGTGTCTGTGCCTGTCCAGAAGAAAGCTGGGTCAAGTTCTCAAGTAAAAGGCAAGAAATAAGCTGTTATCTTTAAAGTAATTTAATCTTCCTACTTTACATTATTATTCTATATATCATTTTAGCTTTTATAGCTGTATATCTCTATGCATTTGGGTTTTTTGGGGAGATGGTATTTTTTATTTTTCTTTGAAGATAGCAAAGACCAAGAGAAAGTTTCCTCTGACAGAATCAGAACATCTAAAGTTCAGGTTACATAAAACCTTCAATCTCAAAATCATAATTTATTTCTGTTAATTAGTAAATTGTGTAGGCGATATGTATACTTTGCTTGGAATTTCAGTTTAGGTGTGTACGAGAAATGTTAAGGAACTGGTAAATAAGTCATCCATAAAAGTCCTGTTAAACCACTTCATCGAGAAGGTAGATGAATTAAGCTGTCATACTTGAGATCCAAATTCTCTACGTAATTTTTTATGCATTCAAAACATTCATTTAGTAGAAGGGGTATGATATTSGGGTAGATCTGGGTTGTATGTTTTATTCATCTTTCAGGATGAATGGTAAATTCTCTTCCGCTGGTTACCATGGAGTTGCATATCTAACATTTTTTCACGATTGTGGTATGACTGTTAAATTTAACAAAAATAATGGTTAAACTTTATTTATTATAATATATTATTTTGTGGAATTTATTAGTAATTAATCTGAACTTAATCATAAATTAAAGCTTATAAAGGCATATTATTCATAGGTTAGGGTTTTGTATGTATATATTTTGCTTTTATTTCTTAAAGGCGTTGCTCCGAACTTGTTGCCGGCTAATTTCCAGTTGAGGCTCGATTGCATATCAAGGCTTCCCTTGAGCATTCGTTCTACTGCGAAGATTATCAATAATGCCATGCGATCTCTATGTAAAGCAAGTGGTCACTCCAACTCTAAGCCTTCTGGTACAATTCATTTCTACATATTCAAACAAAGCCATCTCTCTGGTGGTCCAAACAAATTGGTTCAGCTGCAGACATTCGTTCCACCTCATCAGACAGAAATTTTCGAAAGGTAACCATTTGACCTTGATTTTTTGTCGCAAAAGTGGTCTTTTTGATTTGCCAGATTTAGCAAAACTTGTTCACAAGAAAACATGATCCATTTTCATGAAGCATTGGTTTTAAGTATCCAGTCTAAATTCAAGTTCGTAGTTTTCTAAAAGGAGTTTGGTAAGCTCATTTTCATTTTTTGATGCTAAAGTAGTGTGGCCCATAAGGCTACTTTGTAGGTATGTGTTTCTGTTTTTCTTTCCAGCAGTGCAATCCGTTAATTGCTATAAAGTTGGTCAATTCTAAATCTGAAACAAGCATATTGCAAGAGACATAAGGCAAGCTCTTCCATTTCCTTGAATGATAAGTGCAGCGAATAAGGCAAGCATCTTCTTCATGATTGGCAAGTTTTTATGCAGAGGTAATGCTGCTCCGTGTTYGTTTATGATTCCCAATCAAGTCTTACAGCTTATTAAGCATACTCCATTCCCAAGTATCGACATGGTAGTTCAATCTTTCTAACCAAAAATGAAATTCAGCAAAAGACAAGCCACCAAAATAAAGTTACTAGTTTCTGCTCGTTCCTTGTTGCGGTATTTTTGTTTGGTCTATACTTACAGGACATGATTGAGATGACTTCATATCTAGATACAGACTGATAAATTCTGCCTTTTGAGGAATCACCGAGACTGTACGTAAATCTGACTTTATAAAAATCAATGACACTCGCTTTTTGTGCACAACGCATGTTTCCTATCAGTTGCATTGACAGCATTACCAAGAGTCTTAAGAGCCGCAGTTCAATGATGAGCGAAAGACAAGGTAAATTTTGAAGTTTCTTTGCATAGAAAATTGGTCTTTTCAAATTTTTAGCAGAACTGTTTTGGCAAGTACAGTTTTCAAAGTTGGTACGACAAAACGTGGTGTCTAAAATGCGTTTATAATAGCAAGTTTTCCTTCCATGAAGAGGTTTTCAAAGTAACTTTTCTACCAGAGTTTGGTAAGCTAAAGGATTTTGCATATAATTATGTTGGTGACATTGGCCATTATAGTTGTCCGTGGGTATGTGTTCTATTTTCCTATTTGCCAGGTTATTTGAAGCATTTGTTTCTGGACTTTATAAAGTACAAAAGACAAGAAATTGGACTAAAGAGTAACGAGTGCACTATGCAGAAATATGTAGAAAAGTTCAGAGGGGACTAAAGAAAAGTAGAAAGAGTACGCACATAACTAGCGATTTCTCCAAAACATCGAGTCAGTGAGAGGGTTAACATACAAGGCAAAAGCAATGAGTATAAACACCCAAGATAGCCAGATTGAATCCCTAACTTTGAGCAGAGAGTGCAAAATCGTAAAGCTAGCTTCAGGGGTGGTCCTTAGCCGTCAATCCATGGTAGTTTGAATGAAGTGTAGCATTGCCTAAAGCAGAGGTTCCAAGGTAGTCGGTCATTCAGTAGTTGTTAACATGTCAGTGGTGGTTGCATATTCTACTCATCTTCGCTAACAGGACTAGCTCGTGTCTGTGACTGTCTGCTGTCCTCGACTCGTAGTCATCAGTACAGTGATTGAGTGGATTCGCTTGAGTGAGTCGGTTGTCCACCGGTAAGCATACTTGTCCAGCTTTTGTTTCCATACAATGCCTTGTTGCCTTCAATTCAATCTGCAGTGTGTCAAAGCATGTGGTGATTAGGACAAAAAATTCATGTTGAGAGTAGGCGATGGAGTTTGCAATCCACTTTTGAAAAAGCAGAGTAAAAAGCCAGTTGCACACTACTAAGGAATTGTTTCTGCCACAGTGCATGGAAGTTTGGTGAGCTAAATTTTTAAAATATGTTTCTGAACTTGTCGTTTTGACCCTTTGGGTCCATTTTGTAGGCACATGTTTTTCCTTTTTTTACAGCAAATGCATATGGGCTTATCGCAGCATTGAGGCCAGAAAATAGTGTCCGTGTGACTTACATGCTTAGTTCCTCTGAACCGATCCATTTATAAAGGAGAGACATAGTCAAGGTTATGAGAGATTGGTGGCTAAGTTAGAAGCATGCAGTGCATCCTCCAGATGAAATGAGCAATAAAGAACTCGGAGAGAGTAGAGAGATGCAGGTTTTGGCTTTCAATTACTGATCAGTCATTAAGGTGAAATCATCTCATTCCAGTTAAACTGCAGTCTTTCATTTGCGTTATTGGCCTAGTTAATCCTTTTGCAAGGTAACAGGTAAACTTTAAACTTTTACATATAATATTTATTTTTGTTTTTGTTTTAAATGTACTCATTTTCTGTAGTGCACTAAACCTTAAATGTTTTAAAATCATAACCATAACTACTAGAACTTCACATAAGTGTTAGGATGTCGATTTTATTGTGGTGTTACTATTTAGTTTAATTTTTCATTCTAATTAATAGCATACTTAAACATGCACACATGTATCAGTGTTAGTTTGTGGAAGTGAACATATTTTTGAGTAGTTTTAGTATTAACTGTGTTGTTGAAGATCACATAGTTTTAATGTAAACTATTTTTTTGTGATAAGATTTTATGACCCTCGGGGGTCTTCGTAGGCATGTTTTCTTTTTTTCTTTTTTAACAGCAAGAGCATTATGGCATTCATTAATCTACATAAGCATCCAGCATCTGTAGTGCGAAAAGCAAGAATCGACTAAAGTAACCTAAACCATTGTATGTCCTAACAAAACGGTAGAAAAGTAACACTAAGTAAGATTGCCAATATGCTTCCCTATTAACTGTTCATTGCAAGCGAGAGCAGTGGGTATTGCTAACGAGAAACTCTGTTGATGTTCCTGTCTGGGTGTAACCATTTCCTTTGTTCAAGTGTGGCACCATCGTTCATTGTTTTGTAGTACTTTGGCTGTTCGTAATGGGAGCATGAGCAGTGGTAACCACATAAAGTTCCATCCAAGTGTAAGCACAAGTATAGTTCTTTCGTCCTTCACAAGCATTGCATAACACCTATTGTATCCTGTAAACCTAAAGTGACGAGGTAGCAACTAGATTGCAAGTGTATCGAATGTACATTATTTGTATCCTGTAAACCTAAAGTGACGAGGTAGCAACTAGATTGCAAGCGTATTGAATGTGCATCATTTGTCCGTTTTGTGGTGTATCTTTATTTGGTCTTTACTAACAGGACAAGTCTAAAACGACATGGCCGTCTAAACCTTTGGATATAATAACTGATGTCTAACATTTTGGATCTGCTATGCGTATCACTTGTAAGCATTCTGTTTTAAACTTTCGACTTTAAGTTTGTATGCAACATGTTGTTACTATGCATTAAATCTGCAGTTGCCTAAAAGCACAACTAAAGACTAATTTAAATCAAACCATTTCAACAAACGTATTGAGCAGGTAACCTGTTTTTGACTTCGTGTTTTGTGTGGAAATTCGTACTATTCTTCAAATTAACAGGAAAAAAAGTTCACTGAGTAATCAAATCAAGCAAGCCATTCACTAAATAATCACATCCAGCATTAACCTTAGTGCCATTAAAACACTGAAACGTAACATCCTAAAGGAGTTCGGTAAGACTATATTAATCTTCAATTATTGAATGTAATATTGTAGGACCCTTTGGGTCGTTTGTGGTATATCTATTCTATTGTCTTCACAGCACGTAGAAGTTCCTAAATCTAAAATATTAACGTAACCAGTGGATCTTCAAGCATAGTGGTAACTAGAGACGTAATAACCTTAACAAGATAGAATCTTTGCAAGTTAATAAAGAGAGGATAAAGTATGGCCATGGATCTACAATCAGGGGGCTATTGAATATGGTTATTGAGAGAGTGATACCAGTAGTATATTCCATACTAGTTTGTTCATCATAAGCAACTCGTCTCCCCACAGTAAAGTGATTGTTAAGAGAAGAATCAGTAATGTCTAAACAAGCAAGTAGTGGTAGCCTAGCCTCTTTTACAAGTTATTGTTTCTACTGTTCCATTGGTCCCTCTCCCCTAGCGCAATGTTGGTAGTCCTTTTACGTCTTTACAGAGCATAGAGCCAATTCAAGTTTAAAAGCCATCAAGCTATGTATGAGAAAGCAGGATTTCCGTAAGCAGTAAATCTATTTCTACTATTCCATTGTGTTTCAAGTCCCTCTCCCCTAGTGCAACGTTGGTAGTCCTTTTACGTCTTTACAGAGCATAGAGCCAATGCAAGTTTAAAAGCCATCGAGCTATGTATGAGAAAGCAGGATTTCCGTAAGCAGTAAATCTATTTCTACTATTCCATTGTGTTTCAAGTCCCTCTCCCCTAGTGCAATGTTGGTAGTCCTTTTACGTCTTTACAGAGCATAGNTAAGCAGTAAATCTATTTCTACTATTCCATTGTGTTTCAAGTCCCTCTCCCCTAGTGCAATGTTGGTAGTCCTTTTACGTCTTTACAGAGCATAGAGCCAATTCAAGTTTAAAAGCCATCGAGCTATATATAAGAAAGCAGGATTTCCATAAGCAGTAAATCTATTTCTACTATTCCATTGTGTTTCAAGTCCCTCTCCCCTAGTGCAATGTTGGTAGTCCTTTTACGTCTTTACAGAGCANCCATAAGCAGTAAATCTATTTCTACTATTCCATTGTGTTTCAAGTCCCTCTCCCCTAGTGCAATGTTGGTAGTCCTTTTACGTCTTTACAGAGCAATAGAGCCAATGCAAGTTTAAAAGCCATCAAGCTATATGTATGAGAAAGCAGGAGTTTCGTAAGCATTTACTTAGTTAATGCTATTCAACATGTGAGACTATTCCATTCGTGTATGAACCCATTTCCCTGTACAACGGTGGTAGTTCTTTTACATCCTTGCAGAAAGTGTAATGAGCAAGAGAGGTTAAGATCCAGCAAGCAGGTAGCCTTTAAATATCAAGCTTTTTCAATCTATTTGTCCTTTGTGGTTTTGTGTCCATATTTTGTCTCCTAAAACAGGACTTTGCAAGTAAAGCATCATTCTACGAATGCGTACTTCGGATCGTAAGCATCATCCTTTGAACTTTGTTTCGTTTTCGTACAACATTGCTGTACTATTAGTTCACAGTATCGTATCAAATAACTACAAGTCTAGAGAATAGAAAAATTCACCTCCTACATTGGCCAGGTAAAATGAATTTCGTTTGATTTTTCTTCGAAACGTGGTGTTCTGTTTGTATTGGCAGCAGTATTTTAAATATGCTTGATAGAGGTCAGCGGATCCATTCATATACGGATTCTTAAAGTCTGGTAAGCTTTTGAAAATTAATTTTTTTGGTTATTTTAATAATTTAGTGGCCCTTTGGGTGTGTGTGTAGGCATGTTTCTACTTTTCTTTTTGTAGCTTTCTGTGTGGAATTTGAATCTGAATCCAGTCTTCACCACATTCATAACATGCAAGCGCTTTGGTTTTGGGTAGGAATCTAAATGGTTGGATGTCTATGGAAAAATGGGAGTCCCAGGCATGAGAGTAGAGAGTAAAGATGKTTAATTTTTACAGTCTAAGTGGGTCATCAGATACAGTACCTCCCTGGATAGAGAAAGGATATAGCAGGTCCCCCACTTCACATACAGTACCTCCCTGGATTAGAGAAAGGAGTAAGATCCCCCACTTCAGATACAGTATGGCATTGGATAGAGAAAGAGCATAGCAGTAGGTCCCCCACTTTGCGTACAGTACCTCCCTGGATAGAGAAAGTATTAGGTCTCTTCTTCAGATGCAGTATGGCCCTGGTTAGAGAATGGATATAGCTGTGGGTCCCCTCTTCAGCTCTTCTATTATAGTACAGCCCCTAGTTAAAGAGTGTTAGCTGTGGCGTCCCCTTCTTTCCTGATGCTAGTGGTCCCTGGTAAAGCAAGAGAATGTAGCCGTGGGTCCCACTCTACAGTACAGGTCAATTTAGTGAGAGTAGCTGTCTGGGTTCCTTAACTGACGCAGTGTTAAATTTAGCTGTGGGTTCCCCTCTTCTAATACAGTACAGCCATCGTAGCTTTGTGTTCCCTAAGTGATGCAGTGTGGCCCTGGTAAAGATAAAGAAGTGTATGTTTGGGTTCCCTTCTGACTGCACCCTTTCATTATTGAGTATGGTGGTCCTAGCTCCCTCATCTCCAGTTCCTTTGCCATCTTCCCTTGTGCAACAGTGGTAGTTCTTTCAACTTTTTACAGAAACTAGTCCCAGGAAACTGATAGTCTGGCCACGTAACACCTAAAAAGATTCAAAACAATCATCTCTAACTCGTAAGCATCTTAAAATTTTGAACATTTTGCAACACGTTGCTACTATGACTTGATTCAACAGTTAGTGAAACTAGACTTCACCAAGAGTTCAGAAAGGTAATGCATTTTCACCTTGTCCGATTCGCCCTGTATTTCTTCGTATGTGCTATGGCCTTTGCCTTTGCAGATAATTTATTTCTGATGTCGTCTCTTTGAAGCTGAATGATGTGGTTGCRCAGTAGGGTAAGATATTTTTATAGTTCGATGGTATGCTGTTTTTAGTCTTGCAGAATAACATAACAAAGAATTCATAATTATTATTCTTGAGGTACTTAAAATTATTCTCGATCCAATATGATTGTTATCATACTATAATATTATTAATGCTATATTGTATAATTATGTATGTATATGAGTTCGTACTGTATAATGTAAATACTATAATAGAGTATTATTTATTTGTGTATGTATATAAGTACATGCAGTAACAGAATTGGGGTTGAGTGCTCTAGATAGATAAATCTAGTTAAATACCTAACATAATTCATTAGATAGATAGTAAGGGTGTAGAAGGGATAGGGTTTCTACTCCTCAGATACTGAGAAGCGAGTGTGTCTAAGAACAAGGCTTGCTAGATGTCAAGATCTTCAAGTGAAAAAGGTGAGCAGTTTTCCAGAAATCCAAAGACCTTTCCCCAATCGTCCAAAAACAATGTTTCCAGGTTGAGATTGCCCTTAATGGTTGTCCAACTTGAAAACACTGTAATCACTTGGGAATTTGGAAAAAGTCCTTCATACATTTAAACTGTTAAAAACTCTTTTGTTTACTTTGTAATTGTCAAGGTCTTATTGTTACCTTTTTGTTTATTTAGCCATTTAAATTTACAGTAACGTTTATCACTGTTTTAATTTCACTTTTAATTTTCAGGAGCTGATTACCTTCATGATTTGGCTTTTGTTTTAATTTTGGTTTTTTAATTTTCAGGTCCTTTGAGATAAAGTTAGGCAGTACAGACCAGGATCCTGATACATAGATGTCTACTAGACCCAAGATTGCAACCTTTTCTAATCAGGTAGGGGTTTGAATGGTGTACTAAATTTTTGAAATTGTTCATAATTTTTTCTAAACTTTTTTTTTTCTTCAGGTTCATCCACTTTTAGAGAAGAGCTTAGAGCTAGTTTATACTTTCTTGTGACAATCAGATGTAATGGATTACAGAATAGATAACATGTACCATAACCAACATAACCATAAAATCATGAATAAGCACATGCCTGGGTGCTCTAGTTGTACTGCATTGGGCCAGGCCTACGTTTCCAGCTTTTCCCTTATGAGGTTTTTTACTGGTTTTTCGTAGCCGGCAGACAGCAGCATAACACACTAAACAAAGTAAATATCACTCAAATTGTAATATTACATGAGTAATAAACAGAATACAACAGCAATAACAACACAAGCATACTAAGAATACTAATGTAAACACCCTTCATTGCAATCTGTAACAAGCATTTCTTTGGCATTAATTTGGCCTATGGATTACCATAATATTTTGGAAACTTATATTTTGGCAGTATTCACCTTTCTATTTCTTGGCATGTTAATTTGATTACTTTTAAGATTATTTTGTAAATAAAGACTATTGGTATCTGTTTGGAAGATCATTTGTTGAGATAAAAATAAAGTTGATTTGAGGAACAAAGTGGCGTAGTTTATTGGGGTGTCGTGGGGTTTTATCAGAAAGAAAGTGGTTGCAATAAAACAGTGCCAGATTTTATTTGATTGTCAGTGGTTTATTGCAATGCACTTATTAAAAGACTGGTTTTAGTAGTCTTGACAGATATGACTAACTGGAAGCCGACAATCATAACATTTWAAAAAAAACCGAGCATTTTCATAAGGCAGGTTATTTTTATGATTAATGATGGTAATTGGTACTGAGTGGAGTGCAATTTGGTCTGAAATGAATGATTACAATTTTGTTAATCACAAGTTTGATTTCAGACCAAAATTGCACAACACAATGTTCAATTCCTGCAATAATACATTTAAGATTAAATTTTACCTAAAATATCTGATTGGTCAATTTCTATTTTTCTGCAGTTTCATTGGCTCTTCAAGAGTACAATTTAAAACTCAAAATGGTACGATTTGTGATTCTTGCACTGCTGAGAGCCAATCRGATTGCAGAAATTACCTGTGATTTCGAATTGAATGATGTTATGATCTTTATGTCGCTAGTGGGGTTTCCTAGTGGGTACCAGCCAAATATCAAAGGTCACAGTGCATGTCTAAGATTTGGATGATTTTAATATATCATGAGAGAATTTGCAAGCAAGTATTGCACTGTAAACTTATTTCATGCACAATATTACTAAKCTCTCACTTGGAAAATGTAAAGACTAATATTTGTACATAAATGAACTTCATTGTCAAATGTAGACCCTCGGATTTTTTTGAATGAAAAACTATTGTAAGATTTCTTCATTGGATTCTGTTGTAACTATCATTGTTCTCTCGTCATTCTCTAAGGAGTTGATATCTTCATGCTCCTGATCAAGCAAGACATTTTGTGAATGTGAGTGTACCATGTATGTTGGTACTTCGACAGTCAGAGTGCCTTGTTCATGCGTTTCATCGTCACCACTGATTGGTAACTGTATCTGACTACCAAGGATATGGTGACTGACGACACTCTGCATTATTTGTTCAACCTCTTGATGAAGGGTATGATCTACTACAGTTAATTCATCTGATGAACCTGATTGGGTAACTGGGACGACAGCCGTCCCGTCCAACATAGACTGAATTAGAGCTTGCTGCGCAACCACGGTTTCAGCTAAGGAGACAACACATGCACTGGAGTGTGGTAAAACTTGTTGATTGGAAATCAACTCTTCAGCAACATTCTGCACGACAGTTTGCAATGATTGCACAGGGGTAGTTTCTATGGAGACTTCCTTGGCAACTATTGGCTGCGCAAGAATGGCTTGATCTGATGTGCTTATCTTACATCCCATATCAGAAGAGTAAATAAGATTTGTTTCATGTTCTTCACCTTTGAAAAAAAAAAAAATGTCAATCATAACATAAATAGAATTTTATCTTTGGACATTTGAATATGGTGACAATGGGGATGATAGTAATGCCAGTTGTGGTGAGGATGGTTTTGATGGTACAGTCGACTCTCCCGTAAGTGACCATCTTGGGGCCAGGAGAAAGTGGTCGTTTACGGGAGATGGTCGCTTACGAGAGTTAACACAGGAAGCCCAAACAATGGGAATCCCAACACAGGAAGCCTAAACCCTTTATAATTTTGTGACTAGCATGTTAAAACTACTGTATTAACGATTAAACTGTTTTAATCAAAATTTTGAATGTGCTATATGTTTACAGTAGTGTGTTTGTCAATATTTTGTCGGGTTTTCAATACCCGATGACTCTGTTCTTGATCTGTCACCATTACTGGCTCTTGGGTGGTCGCTTACAGGAGAGGAAAAACAATGAAAAATTCCAAAATTTTGACCCCAAAGGTGCTCGTGGTCGCTTACGAGAGTGGTCGCTTACGAGAGAGTTTTTTTACAGAGTTATTATGGGGAACAAAACGGGAAATTCAAAAAGTGGTCACTTATTGGAGATGGTCGCTTACGAGAGTGGTCGTTCAAAGAGAGTCGACTGTATTGATGGTGATGATGATGATGATGRTGGTGGTGGTGGTGGTGATGATGATGATGGTGATGATCATGATGGTGATATTGTCATATAATGATGATGCCAATGGTGATGGGGATAATGGTGGTGGTGATGATGATGATAAAATCTATGATGATGCCCATGGTGGTGATGGTGCTGATAATGTTGGTGATCATGATTCTGATGATCATGATGATAAAAGTGACACTGATTATGGTTATGGTGCTGGTGATGATGATGATGATGAGAAAGGTTATAATGATGTCCATGGTGGTGGTGATGGTACTAATGATGATGATGCTGGTAAAAACAACTTTGACAATAACAATGTGGTATTGTATATACCTGAATCCACTGAATGTGAATCCTGTTGGCTTTCATCCAGTTCCTCATCTTTATGTACAACACTTATTGAAGCCGAGCCTTTGAATCTCGGGGGACTTTCAAGAGCATGTCGCTTCTCATGTGCATTTCTGCTTCCACTTTGGCTGAAACACTTGCCACATATCTCACATAAATATGGCTTCTCACCAGTGTGGCGAAGCTTGTGCTTGCGCAGACTTGAATGCTCAGTAAAAGATCTACCACAGGTTACGAAGGGGCAAACATATGGACGYTCACCTTTGTAAAACAAATATTATATCTATTAGCTGTATAAATATTGACAAATAAATTAATAAATAAAATTAGCTAAAATACATTAATTAGAATTGAAGCTCATAAAGACAAGAGGTCTGATAAACAAAGAAGATTCAGTCTTCAGACTGTGAAACAGTTTCTGGTCATTAGTTTTTGATAGGAAAAAACCCCCCATAAAAACAATAAAATAACATCTACTAGTCTCTTTAATTTGTGTACTAACAGACTATTTCACAGTCTGAGAATAATCGCTCTGACGACCTCCCTACTAGTGGGGTTTCACTATAGTGGCATAGCTCGTCAGTATGTTAGTCTATAACAGCCATTTCTTCTATAAAGTGTACATTGTCAAGAATATATATAAACTATTAATCATATATTTGAAAATTATTTTAGTAGAAGTACAATCCAATGCATTTACCTGTATGTATTCTCATATGATTCTTCAAATTTCCTGCAGTTGTAAAAGACTTCATACAATTCTCCACCTTACAAGTATAYGGTCGTTCACCMGTATGGACTCTCAGGTGCACATTCAACCTCTGCAGTACGTAAAACGTCTTGCCACACCCTTCRAAGGTACATTTGAATGGCCGATCACCTGAGTGTGTTTTCAAGTGATACTTTAAATGYGCAGGCCATGCAAACATTCTTTCGCATCCAGGGTGCTGACACTTGAAAGGTTTTTCACCACTATGGGTGCTGTGATGATACTTCAGATGCCCAGATGAGGTAAAATTTCGACCACACCCTTCGACGGGACAGATGTAAGACTTCTCTGCAGAGCTGCTCTTTGATGCATGCTTGGAGTGGGAGGGTGAAGGTTTCTTGTTGTCTTCAACAACAAGTTCTCCCTCGCTAGGATTGGAGTCACTGAATGAAAGCAAATAGATATGAAAATTTATTTTSAAACTTAACCAATTATTAGCTTTACATATTGGTAGTTAGAGTGATAAAAAYAGAAATAATAATAATAAATAACTTTAAGTGTTGATGTATTTAGTTTATGCCACTAATTGGGGACACTGAAATTAAACTGCAATGCAGAAATAATCAAAGAAACATAAAGTGTTTTAAGAATCCCAACTGGCAAGGATRCAAACCAGTTGGCTATTTACAAGCATGGCYGAGAAACTGAATCTGAACTAATCAGAAACCAGGACAAATACAGTCTCAGCTAGTGGCCACAGYGAGACTCGAACTCAGCATCATTGGGTTGTGAGACCGACACTATGACCACACGACCATGCTACCTCTATAAAGTCTAATGCATACTGATTCTCTAGGTGGGAAATGCTGTACTTACATAACAGAATTTTTGTCACTTTCTGAAGCATGTTCCATGTTTTCTGATGAACACTCACTGACAGCACTGTTATAGAATATTACTGAAAATATCAATGAAATAAAAAGTCGCAAATAATGAGGATAATAATGATGAGGAGGAGGAGGAAGATCATAATAACCTGACCAACACAGCCCAACATGACTTGGATTTTCAGCTTCTCACAATCAAAAAAAAAAAAAACAATAACTCAGACCCTTGAAAATTTAAATAATGGAATCCAAAAACCCAGACACCTAAGATTATAAATAGTTTTCTGAGTGACTTGCTTATAGCGTGTGTGTTGTTACCGTCTCGTCAATGAAAGTTATAKAGGTGGATTGAAAGTGTATATAGGTGGTTCGAAAAGACCTGGACCTGGTTCAAAAAGACCTGGATCGAAAAGACTTTGGTTCGAAAAGACCAGTTACCCATAATAACAATCAAAGCATGTGAGACAGTGATATGAACATTCTTCTATTTTACCTTGAGATCCATTGTCTCCGAGGTAGAGTCTTCCATAAACATTTGCATCACATGAAGATCCTCTTGACTCTAATAATGCATTACTATCGATACACTGTTCACCATCTCTGTCTTCAATACTAGTGATACAGTTTGGATCTTCATCTTCAATATCTTACAGAGAAAAAAGAAACTCAAACTTTTAGACATTGGGTTTGCAATCCAGTTGACAAGATCCCATGATAATCAGCACAATCATAAAAAACATTTCTCTGTACTTTCCCATTAGTCCCATGTGCACCTTGATGTCCCTGTTACGTGTTGAAACTTTTAGCTGAAACTTGTGTGCAATGGCAAGACAAGTTTCACAGGAATGTTACACAGCACAATTTCTTCCTGAAACTTGTCCGCAACACAAGTTTTGGTTGCAGGAGTAGGAAGCAGTTCTACTTTTCTTGAAGCTTTGTTGCAATAAACGTTCCACAATTTAAGCCTAAATTGTAACTTGTAACACCCCTGTGAAAATTGTCTCACAACACTGCTGTACACTGCTGTGCTAAAGTGTCAACATTTAACAAGGCTTTCATATAATCTAATGATTTATTTAATTAACAGCAATAGCTTTACTGCTGACAGATGGAAGGGTGGAGGGGGTCCTGATTTTTCATAAAATAATCTTTTAGCCCTAAGTATTCAATCCCAGATCAAATGCTTGACATATATCTCTCCTCTCCTTAGCACTGACACAAATTTATTACCTCTCCTTTATGTAGCCTTAAGGCCAAGTAAAAATATATGCTTTTCATTCAGATAAGAAACAATAAAAAAATAAGCAGCCCCAAAAGATGAAGTGGGCAGGGACTAGCCTGCGTCACATCTGGAATTTTCTTCATAAATATATTTACAAAGAAAATTCCGGATGTGAAGCAGGCTAGCAGAGACAAGAAACATTTATTTATTTTTACTTGGTCTAATAGTACACTGCAATTTTTATGACAGTTATTATTTGCTTTCTCTTTCTTTGT